CTTCAGCAGCCACTCATCAAGCAGAAGAACAACAACATCAAATCCATTAATTGCACAGAGCTCGTATCGCCCCTCTGGCCTTGCCAACAGAAATCCTGTCCCAAATCTTTTGCCACTGTCTTCCGCAATTTCCGGGACTCAATGAATTACAGCCCCCATCAAAGCTAACTGCACCTATGCTGTTGACCAGAATATGTCGATGGTGGAGGGAGGTTGCTATGGGCATGCCTACCTTGTGGTATACACTGTCTATGAAAGTTCACGACAGAGATTGGCAGCAAGCAGCCTTCTTCTATGCCTCTTGGCTCAAGCGAGCACGAGGACGTCCACTCTCGTTAAGACTCCAGTTCCACGCAGAAAATGACTCGACCAAGTTATGACGCCTTCTTTGGCCTTACATCAATCAAATCTCACTCTCTGTCTATTCTACCATCCTAGCACAGGTGAATTTAGCATGTTCAGAGACCTCCTAGCACTTGAGGAGATGTCCGTATTCATTTACGAGAATATCTCTCGTGGTGATATGCCAGCTGATATTTCATACTCTATCTTGCAACTGCCGTTCACTCTGTGCAGTTTCGATGCATCAGGGTGGTTACTCAACTTCAACGACATGTCCTCTTGCAATCCCATATGGGCCCATCTGACAACACTCAGGATCAGGGTATCAGAAGCAAAAGCTGTTCTCCACTTGCTCCTGCTAGCTCCCAACCTATCCTCGTTAACGATTCACATAGAATCCGAGGATGTCCAAGCATTAAGGCCATTCACACACACAAACCTTCAAACCTTGGATATCAGTTGTGAATGTTTTTCTTGACCCGGGGTCCCAATTCTACCACCTGTTTAATGCTCTCTCACTCCCCACTCTACGCATACTTGCTGCTCATGATGTACTAGAATGGCCTCATGAGGAGTTCAAGGCATTCCTGTCACGGTCAGAGTGTCCGCTGGAGAGTCTGATCATCAGCAAGAGGTGACAGATGAGCAGCGCGCAAAATATGTTGCCCTTGCCCTTGTTCCTTCGCTCCAATTTGTATTGCTTGATACTCGTTACAGATTTGTGATATATGATGGTCAGTCATGCTACTCTTATGTCATCTACTCCTGTCTCATGCTACCACTGCTGTATGCCCACCTTGTGACTCTGATTACAACTTTGAAAGACGACATCGCTGCAGACCATGCCTTTTGTCTATGGTGTTTTGTAAGCTTATCATACATTATAACTTTATCCCTGCTTTTCATCATCACATCAAGAGCATTGAGCAGTGAGCATGCCTGGTTGGTATGTGCTGCGTCCTGCTTCCCTACAAATGACAGTGTTTCTGTATGACCCTCCTTGATGCAGCCTCGCACATATCAGATTGATGATTATCCTCCTCTCAGTGTTTTGTATGATGTCGCCGAGTATGTGTCGCATCATGACTAGGGCTGCACACCGTACCGTATATGGTAGATGGCCATACGCATACGGTAGAGGTACAGTAGACGGTGAACCCATCTACCATACATAGTATTGGCCGTGGACAAAGCAGACGGTACGGTACGGAGTATTATATGGACATATACGGTAATGTACGGTACATACAGAATGTAAATCAACTATGAACAAGCTCATTTAGGGCCAAACGAGCCAAGCGAAGCCTTGCCTTCATGAGCATCAACGTTCTGATAGTCTCAGGCTTGAGACTTGCACGTCGCAGTGAGACCGTGTCGCGACCACCGGAGAAAATTCGTTCAACAGCAACAGCAGATCCTACAACGAAGAGAACTAAGTACAGACACCTGGAACATGAAGTGAGTACTCACCAGGTATTGAAAGGACATCACGGGCAAGTCGAGAGAGGTTCGGAAACTGTGCTCGGCGACCCGCCCACCACTGAATGGGGTCGCAAAGGTCAAAGTCCTCTTGCGAAAGTTTTAGGTACTCCTCAAATTCATCTACCAAAACATTTGACCGCTTCTTGTACCTCGCCGTGAAATTCACCTTCGAGGGAGAATTTCTACCATCAGACACATTTGCGTGATGGCCTGTGCTGGCAGACAGCGATGACGCACTGTCCTGCGCAACAGATGTAGTGGCATAGTCTTTTTCATACAGGGCGTGTAGGTCATTCTTCAGTGAGTCGATTTGTGACCGTGTACTTGCATCATTGGCATCGCAATCATCACGGAGACCTTTGTAAGTAATGTGGGGATCGAGAACTTGAAACTAGATTAGCTATCAAAATAAATCTAAATTCAGTGCAGGACTCACTCGAAGCCCAGACATAGTACGGTGAGTCATCAATCTTGAAGAAGTAGTCGCTGAGCTTCCGATGCGCATTGATCAAAGCGAGCTGTATCTTTGCTGGGGCTGAGTCTGGAAGATTCGCTAAATCATCCCGAAGTGACTCCTCAAGGCCTCGAAATATAGCATGAGCTGAAGACAACATTGGGTGCTTGGTTGTTGACATTTGAGTGGTTGCTGACCGGAATGCTTTCAGCCACCCCGTCACTAGTTCAATTGCTTGCCAATCGTCATCAGAAAGTTCATATTGTCGTAGTTCACGTGTCTTTGCCACAAAATCATTGATAGCCTTGCGGGAATCCAATGCACAACCTGTGAATTTGATTGGTACTCAATCATAAATTATGGAACTGTACTTACAAAGCATTTGATGTGTCGATGACCAGTGGGTCTTGACGTCCAAAATGAGCATGAGCGCAACTTGACTGAGTGTATTCTCAGTCTTCTTGAGTGATATTGTGACCTCCGCAAGCCATGCCTTGCGTCGCTGTGGGCTTGACCGAACTGACCGAACAATCTTTCGAAGCTGTTGGATCCATCCATTAGTAATGTGTTTTATGAAACTGTGATTTCAATACCTTGTCGACAGCCGACAAAACCCCCTGCAGAGTGCCAGATTGATCATCGTCGTTGTCATCCATTTCATCAAGAAGTGCAGCGTTATCATCATGCTCACGGTCTATGGGAGCAGTAACTGAGTCCTGGTATGCAGATTCTCTACGTCTCGAATCTGGCTTGATAGCACCGATGCCTTCAAGAAGCTGCATTGCAGATAGGTGCACAATATGTGGCAAACAACGGATCCGTGCTTTCTTGTGCGAGAAGTCGATCCCCTCAGCGGAACACTTTTCTTCAAGGGATTCAAGTAGTGTATCGTTGTTCGTAGCATTGTCACATACGACACCCATGATCTAAGATAGAATGAGTACATAAAATCACGCAACCCGCTGTTTCGTACCCGATCTTTGAGTCCGTAAAGTTCGAGTGTGTCCCACACAGCTTCAGCAAGATTAGCACCACTGTGTTCACCAATAATTTCACGAAAATCAATCAAAAGCTCTTCTGTTGATGCGAAGTTGAAGGTTGGGCGCAAAAATGATGGGAGGGACATACCTAACTGCCAGTCATTGGTCACATAATGCATGATAATTGCGAGGAACGCAAATTGGTTGCTCGAGGTCCAAGCATCTAGGGAAAGGCTCACTTTCGCCTCGAGTTCCTGAAGAAGGTTGGTAATGTATGAGAAAATCTTTTTTGAATTGTTCAACTTACCTGAACCATGTCTTTGATTCCTTGGATAGTCTCGTCACCCATCTTCATGATACAACGTTTGATTGCCATTTGTCCAGGGATACGTAGTGAACCTTGGTGAGTGTACTCAATGAATGCTTTGAACTCTGGCTTTTCGACCTCGTCAAACGGCTGGTCACATGCAACGAGCCATTTCGCATGCAGGTCTTCAAATTTGTCTTGGTTCCAGGCACCGAATGTTTTGTTGACTTGCTTGTTGAAGGCGTCAACGAGATTTGCAGATGCTTGCTCAAGCTGTGTCAGGTATGCTGCTGCTGCGTCGGGATCAAGAACTTTTTCGCCTTGTGCCATTTTGAGCTCATCTTCGGTGGGAGGTGTTCCGCGAGACTTCAGGATGAGGTATAACCAATACATAGGTGGAAAATGTGTTTTGAGATGCCCGATCAAGCCTGATAGTCACACTGTATTAGCAAGAAAGATGCTAGCCAAAACACGATACAACTTACCATTCAGGCTGCTTTTCATTGCACGTGTAATGGTGAGGACCTTCCGATTATCCAAGTAACACTTGTAGTGTTTATCTCCTGGATCACCAGCCTGACCCGCAGCATTCGACTGTACGACATCGTAGAAGTGATATATCGGGTTCCGCTTGGTAGCCTAATAATTTCGTAAGAACTGAACTCTCTGAGACAAAACGGCACCATACCTTGACAGCAGGCACGGAACCTCGAAGGGGTACAGCATCTTCCAAGTCGACAGGACTTTCTTGCATAGTCACGGTCGTAGCAGCTCTTCGGCTGGCAGATGCCCGAGTGGTTGACTTTTTGGTCAAGCACTTGCGCTTGTTTTGCCTGTTTGATTGTTCCGGAACTGTTTTTGAAGGCAACAAGTGCGCGAGCTTGTTTTGCATAATATTGAGTTTATGAACAATGCTCTAGAGCTATTCTCAACTCACCTCTTCGTTCGTGATTTCAATGACATCCGATTCACTATCAGAGTCCAATGCAGTATCCGACGGCGAGCTTGAAGAACTAATGTAGTCACTCCCTTCATCATCCAGGTCACCTTCAACGGCAAGACCCTCAAAGCGATTCTGCGTGGTTTTCGACTTCTTGGTTCTCCTGGGCTTAGACTTGGTGGCAGGAACATTTGGACTACCTTCAGAGGCCAATTCTGCTGTGATACTCTCAGTTAAGCGTGCGGTATTCTTAGTGCGGTGCCCACGACCGAGGACAGTCTGGAATTGCGGTTCATTGGTAGGACTAGAGGACATTGAGGGCAGAAATACGAGAGGGACAACAAACTAGTAACTAGGGAAGTCTTAGTAGAATATTATAAGGAACATACGGAGAGTACTGCTTCCATCAGCGTGAAGCGCATGCAGCAAACTGTCAGACTTATTGCAGTCGTCGTCGTCGTCGTCGCAGGACATGGCGGTTCAGGGCAAGAAGTCGCGGATAAACCGGCACCCTTTCCGACCGTAAAGGCCATAAAGGTACTGTTGACGGCCGTATGGAATACGTCTTGTACGGTGTACGGTCCAGCCGTACACCGTACATATTGATTTCTTTGTGCAGGTCCAGCGGTACGGCAACCGTATCCGTCGACGGTTGCCGTACAAACCGTCTATGACGGCGACGGCGTGCAGCCCTAATCATGACATGGTATCAAACTTCGGTTACATTCTTGCCAGGTTCAATGTTCAATGTTCAGTATTCATGTAATGGTGAAATGATGTATTAAAGCAAAATCATGGAAGAAAAATACCGAATGTTTATGCTGAATCGAATCTGCTGA